TCTCTCTCTCTCTCTCTCTCTCTCTCTCTCTCTCTCTCTCTCTCTCTCTCTCTCTCTCTCTCGCTCGCTCGCTCGCTCGCTCGCTCGCTTGCTCACTCTCTCTTTGTATGTGTGTGTACGTCACCCTTTCCGCCTGCTCATCGTCCTGTTCGGCTTACCTTACCAGGCTTTTTCCGGTCTGCTCTACTCCAAAGGAGGCTACACACTGTGTTGTTGATGATGCAATCACAGACTACAGCGGAGCTTTGTCCAAGCCGGGGATGAGATCAAGAGGGAGCCACACAATATGCGCACGTGTCTGCAACAGCAACCGCTTTAGGATCTGGTGTCACGTGGAGACCCTCCGGGCGGACAGGACAAAAGTACAAGTGGATAGGCAAACCACCATCCTGGACCAGCTCAACATCGTCTCCCTCTCGGGCCTGGTTGGACGTGTACGTCGTCCCACAGAAATGACCGGTGAGCTGTGTCTCAAGTCCAATGGCACCACCATTTCCCGTCAGTGCTTTATTGTTTGAAAAATCGCATCCCATAAAGAACACGTCAGCAACATCGGAGGCAGTTGGAGAGATCCACATGGCCCCTCCACCGGTTCCGGCTACATTGCTGCGGAAAGTGGTAGCGCTGCAAACGAATGCCTCATTTGAGGAGTGATATTTCACAGCACCACCCCGATTCTTTGCTCTGTTCCCGTCGAAGGTACAGTTGGTTATTCTTCCCTTCCCTCGCGTGCTAAGGAAGAGAGCCCCTCCATCCCCCAACAACGCTTTGTTATCAATGAACATTGAGTCACTAATGTCAAAGGTTTGCGTACCGAGTCCCATAAAGATGGCCGCCCCGTAATCCCCTTCGTTCTTGCGGAATATGCACGACCTCACCTCCACAGAGCAAGACTTCATATATGCTGCGCCGCCCTTCGCATTCCGCAGCTCGAGGTCCACAACAGATAAGCTGCAACCACTCGCATACGAGACGAAAATTGGATACTTCGAGGCCCCATCGATCACACACTTGCGATCTGGACCACAAGAACCTCGGATTGAGAACCGCGCATTCTCCTGGATCCACGGAAGTGGTTTCGTGAGCCTTACATTCCCACGTATCACGAAGACAGTCCTGGAGCCATTATTAGCAGCATATATTGCCCGGGTCAATTTCTCTTCCCAGTTCATTTCTTCTCGTAATTCTTCATCCTTCGACACTGGGGATGCACCACGCAGGGTGGTCCCCTTGGAGGACGAAGTGTTATTTTTATGGGTACTTTTTACAGATGGAAGCTGTATAATCAAGTCTGTGTCAGACTCAGATCCCACTGGGAATGCCCCATCTGTAGAATCTGAGACTGCGGTCTCAGCTGCACATGTCAGATAAGGAGAGGGTAAGACAATGAGGCACAAGAAAACAGAGATGGCATAAAGAAATATCAACCCCCAATTGCAATGGCAACGCCATGACCGGCCTGCAGCTGTCACAGAGACCGCCATTGACACACACACACACACACACACACACACACACACACACACACACACACACACGAAAGGGGGTAGGAGAGGGGAAAGAGAGGGAGAGAAAGGGAGAGGAAATAATACAGGAGGACAAAGATGGAAGCCAAGACACTCTACGTACACATCGTCAGTGAGGATCACCCATTCATTTACAAAGACCACACCCCATAGAGCATGCTGTTGCCATCATAGCTCGAAAGACTTCCAGGTTTATGTCATTAAGAGTCCGATGCATATCCATTTATGATTACAGGACGACTTCTAAAATTCACCACCTGCTTTCCGCCTTCCGCTCCCCCCCATTCCACTTTCTGCCAAGTGCTTACAATCGACCTCCTGAGTTGCAGGGTCTTCAAGACGACACTGGACACCGCCAGCTCCAGTCTGCGGCCAGAACTGCACAAAATACCCAATAGCAAGGGTCAGCATGGTTTTCGTATGTCCACAATCGCCTTCTGCTTTTCCTGCCTCCGCCACCTCACAGATTTTTTTATTTTTTATTTTTTATTTGGACCATTTCTCGATTTATGTGTGTCATCCTTGCACAGGGGCCATGCTAATCTTCTCTGTATCGTTCCAATTTTAACGGATGTCCCGAAGGACATACCTCACAGATTTTTAACCTTAAATAATTAAATTATTATTGGATCACACACAGGTCTTACAGAAAACAGATAGGCACTCCCGCTGTCATCCTTACAACACCTCCCAGACTTTACCTTATACTATCCACATGCACAAAAGACAAAAACAATATGGTGGTGTATAGTTCCATGTTCTAGCGAAACATTCATTCTCATTTTGCACATTTGGAGAGTCGTGGAGCGAGGCCCAGTGACAGCATCCTACAGGAAAATGGACGACGTAGACACGAAGCTGCCAACATTCAGACAGATGCAGACAACACCAGCACAACCTCAATCAACACGCGGCCAAAAACCACTTCCCAAAAATTACATGTTTCAGAAAGAAACAGACTTGGTGAAATTGTTGTAGGCACCACGCTCAGGATGCGCCCGCACTTTCACTTTTCACTTTGCGCCTTCTCGTTTCCATTCCCTCTAACCATACACCAGAAACAAAGACTGTGAAATATGGTAATGGTCAACGGAGCCCTGCAATGCTTCACCGACTAATTCGGCAGGAAAAAGTGGCATTTCCGGTTACTCACCCCCATGCATAAGGGAGGAAGGTAGGACGGACGGACGGTCGGAGGGAGGGAGGGAGGGAGGGACGGAGGGAGTGAGGGAGGGAGGAAAAATTCTTCACCAGGAAACACTGTCTCTTTTTCGCTCACCTAATTGCCCAAGGAAGGATAACTGCACATGAGGGCACAGTCACACTATAACTGTACAACTGGACTCCTATGGGACATCCATTAAAATAGGACTGATAGACCCGACAGCACACACGAGTTGAACCATGGTTAAAAAAGAGCTGCTTTTTTTAAGACTGCACTTTACCTCCCCGCCTGTGTGCGAGGATGGCATTGCACGTAATAGCGGCGATCGCGTACCTCCAGGGACATGCTAATAAGAGCATGCACTCTGCATTGTTTCTCTTCTGTATTCAAGCTGGGTCCTTTTTTACTCGTAAGCGATACTGGCCACAGGGCGTCCGAGGAGGTATTCCCTCCGCATAGACACAACACTTGGAATTGTGACTGTCATCGTCCCCCACGTAGAATGCGCGGTCACTATAGCTGTATTTGGGGCCAGCTTTCGGACTGGATACAGCGATAATGACACCGTATTCTATGCGGGGGAAGATGGTAGTCCAGCAAGTTGAACCCAGAGCTATGGCAGATAGAGTCTACCAATGCTTTTCTTTTCTTTCTGCTGTCATGTTTTTTCGATCATGATGTGAGTGCACTCCAGGATTCTCAGAATTCATGGTTGTAATAGCATAGCTGCATTTGGGGCAATTTTCAGTCCAGGTACGGCAATAACTACCAGGCGTTCTGTTCTATTCGGGTGAAGACGGTAGTTCTTGGTGTCGTCTTTGCCGCTTAATGGTGCAACTACCATTTCTGCACACAAACCTCAAGGTTTCGCCCTCGTTCCTCGTGTTTTTCTACTACCCTGCTCTACTGCATTTTCCAACCTTCTCTTCCATTCTCGCCCATCATCATGCACACATCCTCCCCCATGCACACACAGTTCCTTCTATTTTCTCCTCGCCTTCCTGTTGATTTCTAACACGCGTAACACGCGTCAGTCACGTGGCCACCGCCACTTCGCACGAGAGTCAACAGATTAGAAAGAGGACGGACAGACCGGGACCACTCCTCAGGGTCAAAAGGGTAAAAATCAAAAGCCTTTGACCACTTGGATGGGCTTGAAGGTCACCACTCTCTTACAGTAA